TGTGTGTATATATATATATATATACACACACCACACATACATATGTATGTGTGTGTGTGTGTGTGTGTATACACACACACACTTTCCTTCCTAAAAGATAAAAATGTACACGAGTTTTTATAGATGGTCACCCCAACACTTCATTCAAGACTTTTGCTAGGCTATGATACTATATTAATAATCTCATCTAAAAGATTAAGCTTCTGATATTTTCATTTCTATTTTATCTTCTCTAGGTAGAACTTCATAGGCCAAAGCCAGCAATCGTGAAGGTGTACTGTACAGATGCTAATGATGAAGCTGCCATTGTTGTATCCTCCGGTCAACATTTTCCCGTGACGAAACTGAACTTCGGATGGGGAATTCCAGCATTTGGGTCGTATCACTTTCCTTGGGGAGGGCAAACTGGGTATGTGATGCCAATGCCAAGCGTGAGAGAGAATGGAGATTGGGTTGTTTATATGCATCTTATGAAGAAGCACTTGGATTTAATTGAGACAAAGGCTTTTGATGTGTTTAGGCCTTTTGATTCTTCTCATTTGAAACTTGCAGTTGATGATTAAGAAATTGAATCACATCTCTTGATTATGGAATTTATTCTCTTTGTATATTTTGAGGAATGTTTTCAAGTTAGGGTCCGTTTGATTGCAAAGGTGGAATTTTGGTGGAAAGAAAATGAATTTCAGGGAATTGAATTACCTAGAAATTATTTTCCTGGGAATTGTCAATTGATAGTGTTTGATTGGTATAATTTTTCTCGTGGAAGATGTTGAAATGAAGTGTTTTTTGGTATTCGTTTGGCTTTGTTTTATATGAAAATTGTCAATTTAAGGGATATCCACTTCTACCATTGTTCCTAGAATTTGTTTTCATTGCCAACCAAAGAATAAAATAAAATAAAATAAAAAACTCATTTATATTTTGATGTTCGTTTGGTTTTGTTTTACATGAAATTTTTCAATTAAAAGAATATTCTCTTTTACAATTATTCATAGAATTTGTTCTCATTATCAAAAATTTTTTTTTAAAAAAAATAATAATAAAAAATAAAAAATTGGGTGGAAAATGACTTCTCACTTTCCACCAAATGAAGGAAAACAAGGTCACGTGAGGGGAGGGGGGAATTCAAATTCCATGGAAAATTTGGATAATCAAACACCTTTCATTGGATGGAAAATGGAAAAAGTTTAAAATGGAGTAATCAAACATACTCTTAGAGAAAATGAAGCACACTTTCTTTCTTTTTGTTTTCTTTTCATATTTTAACTTAAAATAAGGGTATAATTATTTTTCTAGCACAATTAAGATGATAATTATTTACTAGTTGAGTGTTTGGGAGCATTAAGACTTATGGTTTTATTTTAAAATGCCAATCTTATTGAGTCGAGTTGTGCAAGCCCTTATATTAGGCTTCTGTTTCGGTATTTAATAGACGCGAAATTTTTCCTTTAACATGCATTCTCAAGATAACGGCTCATTTAAGAAAAACTGCCCACCCACCCAAGAGCGCTTTTGTTATAGGAGAACTCATGGCTGGAAAGGAGGTTGCTTGCTCTCAATCTCCACCTCTTCTTTTTTACCTAATTTGCCTTAACTGGATCAAATTATTCGTTGGAGTTGAATGATCTTGATACCATATCAAGACTTGATGTTTCGTATTAAAATGTCAATTTTTTTGAAGAAAAATAGTTCAAACCTTTATATGTTGTTCTATGTTTCGGTAATTAACTGATGTGAAATTTATCCCTTAATAGAAAAGAAGGCAAAGAAAGGAATGTAGCATGCATATGGGTGAGTGGACACCCATGTGAATGTTGATGCCTTCCACATTGGCATGATCCCCATGCCTCATTTTAAAGTCGGCCATGTTCCAACGAATACTCTAGAAGAAGGCTCTATCACGATTTTCATCCTCTAAGACTTTGTACAACGACAATGAAAGATCAATGATTAAAATATCTATTTTTTAAAGAATGAGGACCAACTTGTAACTAGACCCATAGTTTAGGTGACCAAATGCAAATGGTGCAATTTCCTTATTCGAAATATACACATTGACCCAATCGCTAAATATTTATGGCAACATTGGTAGCTACACATAATAAAACTATACAAGAAATTGACTTGTTTTCACATGCCTTTCTTCCTTAACTCTATCATGTTAAGTCGTGTGATAGGAACCTGGAGAAGCTGCATAAATTCCTTTGGGCTGAATGTTGTTGCCGCCCTTTTGGATAGTGATAGCAACGGAGCGGGTTCGGGACGGGGCACCCTCACCCCGCCTCGCCCAACTTTTGACGGG